AAATTAATTAATTAATTAAAATAAGATAAAGTGCATCAACGAGAACTACATCCAACCACATGAGTAAATAGTAGAAACGTGTTGAGTAAAAAAATTATTTGAAAAAATTATTATTTGATATAATTTCTATAACGTTCAGAAAGAAACCCTCATAGTATGTTGTAAAACTTGAAAATAAAATGACAGATTCAGGCTTAGTTACCTCTGGGGATGGATGAGACAGTAGGATTAGGGAGAGGAACATAGAGGTCTTTAAGAGTATTATCATCATACAGTCCTCAAGTGTATTATAATACATTCCTCAAAATGTGTATGAAAATTGACCAGGAGACTTGACATGTTCTATTGTGTGGTGGTGAGAAGTATTGTGTTTCAAATAAGAATGTATTGAAGATATTCTTCCATGATGTAACAACATATAGGAGCACCTGGAGGTTGAGGAAAGGGAGCTGGAGAAGATGTATTGATCACAAGTTTGACCCTTTCCTGGGTACCCAACTCAACACCATTCCCTCTTGCCTTATGAGACTCAAGTCATGTTTGAGCCCTTCTGACATGTACCTGCAGTGGGTTTGAGTAGGCAGGGATACTAAGGTAATCCTATTTTGGGGAGGTATGGAACTCCTTTGATGGGTGACTTTTGCTCTAAAACTCTTAAATAGCTTTACCAAACTTTCTTAGAACTGCTGTGTAGTCTAAGACTCTTGCTACCCAACCTTCATCCTTCCTACTCTTCCCTACAGGGATCAGACCAGCATTGTGAGCTTATGTTTTGCCCAGCTTCCTGTAGCTCACTTCCCATTGTCCCTCACAAGCATTACTCTCAATAAATCTCTCTTGCATGTCTGATCCCATCTCTTTTTTGGAAAACCTAAACCACTGCATGGGTCAATATGTGTGAAGTGCTTGGTACATCGTAAGCAGTCAATACATGCTAGTTTGTGTTATAGTAAATTAAGTAAGAGATGATGGTAATTTTGACTGTGGTAGTGGTGATGGATGGAAATGTCCAAATTGGAGAGACATTTAGCTGATGGATACAATAGGACTGTGATTGAATTATAAAAGGGTTAGTTTGCCCAGTTTCTTGCTTATCACTCGCCACTTCACACTTGACAGCCAAGCCACATTGATTTGTTAATAGTTCACTGCATACACCCTAGTGATCTATAGTTCTTTACTCACATTGTGACTTCATAAAATATCCTTCCCCCACAGTCTTTTGCCTGGCAAAATCCTACTTGTTCATTGAGATAAGCTTAGGAATCAACTCTTCCAGGGAGTCTTCCCTTTTTCTCTTTACCAGTCACTTCCATCCTTTCCTTCTCCTTGGGTTCCTAAACCATCTTATGTTTATAGGCTTAGTAGTCATAAACATATTGAAATATAATCAATCTATTTTTGTATCAGTTTCTTCTTTTAGATCCTAGATTTCTTTAGCCATCAGGTGAGATTGCAGAGGTATTACAGGGATCAATTAACCATTTTGTACTTTATTCAAAGAGCAATGGGAAACCGTTGGAGGATTTGAAATATAGAGGCAGTAAGATGTAATTTGAGTTTTATGATGATCACTTTAGCTACTGTTGGATGGATTAGAGGGGTGCAAGAGTAAATTAAGGATGGTGAAAAACTGAAAGCATTTCCACTAAGGTCAGGAACAAGACAAGGTTGCCCACTCTCACCACTCTTATTCAACATAGTTTTGGAAGTTTTAGCCACAGCAATCAGAGAAGAAAAGGAAATAAAAGGAATCCAAATCGGAAAAGAAGAAGTAAAGCTGTCACTGTTTGCAGATGACATGATACTATACATAGAGAATCCTAAAGATGCTACCAGAAAACTACTAGAGCTAATCAATGAATTTGGTAAAGTAGCAGGATACAAAATTAATGCACAGAAATCTCTGGCATTCCTATATACTAATGATGAAAAATCTGAAAGTGAAATCAAGAAAACACTCCCATTTACCATTGCAACAAAAAGAATAAAATATCTAGGAATAAACCTACCTAAGGAGACAAAAGACCTGTATGCAGAAAATTATAAGACACTGATGAAAGAAATTAAAGATGATACAAACAGATGGAGAGATATACCATGTTCTTGGATTGGAAGAATCAACATTGTGAAAATGACTCTACTTCCCAAAGCAATCTATAGATTCAATGCAATCCCTATCAAACTACCACTGGCATTTTTCACAGAACTAGAACAAAAAATTTCACAATTTGTATGGAAACACAAAAGACCCCGAATAGCCAAAGCAATCTTGAGAACAAAAAATGGAGCTGGAGGAATCAGGCTGCCTGACTTCAGACTATACTACAAAGCTACAGTAATCAAGACAGTATGGTACTGGCACAAAAACAGAAAGATAGATCAATGGAATAGGATAGAAAGCCCAGAGATAAACCCATGCACATATGGTCACCTTATCTTTGATAAAGGTGGCAGGAATATACAGTGGAGAAAGGACAGCCTCTTCAATAAGTGGTGCTGGGAAAATTGGACAGGTACATGTAAAAGTATGAGATTAGATCACTCCCTAACACCATACACAAAAATAAGCTCAAAATGGATTAAAGACCTAAATGTAAGGCCAGAAACTATCAAACTCTTAGAGGAAAACATAGGCAGAACACTCTATGACATAAATCACAGCAAGATCCTTCTTGACCCATCTCCTAGAGTAATGGAGATAAAAACAAAAATAAACAAATGGGACCTAATGAAACTTCAAAGCTTTTGCACACACAGCAAAGGAAACCATAAGACCAAAATACAATCCTCAGAATGGGAGAAAATATTTGCAAATGAATCAACTGACAAAGGATTAATCTCCAAAATTTACAGGCAGCTCATGCAGCTCAATAACAAAAAAATAAACAACCCAATCCAAAAATGGGCAGAAGACCTAAATAGACATTTCTCCAAAGAAGATATACAGACTGCCAACAAACACATGAAAGAATGCTCAACATCATTAATCATTAGAGAAATGCAAATCAAAACTACAATGAGATATCATCTCACACCAGTCAGAATGGCCATCATCAAAAAATCTAGAAACAATAAATGCTGGAGAGGGTGTGGAGAAAAGGGAACACTCTTGCACTGCTGGTGGGAATGTGAATTGGTTCAGCCACTATGGAGAACAGTATGGAGGTTCCTTAAAAAACTACAAATAGAACTACCATATGACCCAGCAATCCCACTACTAGGTATATACCCTGAGGAAACCAGAATTCAGAAAGAGTCATGTACCAAAATGTTCATTGCAGCTCTATTTACAATAGCCCGGAGATGGAAACAACCTAAGTGCCCGTCGTCGGATGAATGGATAAAGAAGATGTGGCACATATATACAATGGAATATTACTCAGCCATAAAAAGAAACGAAATTGAGCTATTTGTAATGAGGTGGATAGATCTAGAGTCTGTCATACAGAGTGAAGTAAGTCAGAAAGAGAAGGACAAATACCGTATGCTAACATATATATGGGATTTAAGAAAAAAAATATTATGAAGAACCTAGGGGTAAAACAGGAATAAAGACACAGACCTACTGGAGAACAGACTTGAGGATATGGGGAGGGGGAAGGGTGAGGTGTGATAGGGCGAGAGAGAGACATGGACATATATATACTAACAAACGTAAGGTAGATAGCCAGTGGGAAGCAGCCGCATGGCACAGGGATACTGGCTTGGTGCTTTGTGACTGCCTGGAGGGGTGGGATAGGGAGGGTGGAAGGGAGGGAGACGAAGAGGGAAGAGATATGGGAACATATGTCTATGTATAACTGATTCACTTTGTTATAAAGCAGAAACTAACACACCATTGTAAAGCAATTATACCCCAGTAAAGATGTTAAAAAAAAAAAAAAGAGTAAATTAAGGGAAATGGTTTGATGTGGGCTCTAGAGCCCAATTGCCCATGTAATTGCCATATACTAGCTGGGTAATCTTGGGAATGTTACTTAACCTTTCTTTGCCTCAGTTTCCCCATCTGTAAAATGGATAAAATAGTACTACTTCAGGGTTGCTGTGAAGGTTAAGTGAATTAAAACAGCTTAGAATAGTATTTGGCATATAGTAAGCAGTTAGCTGTTACCTATTATCTTGTTATTTAACAAATATTTGTGTGCTTACTACATCTGCTCTGGGCCAGATACCACTATTAAGCCGAATTTAACAAATGATGAAAGCAAGTTCAAATTAATGTGCAGACAGAACTTTGGATTATAATTATGTCCCTAAGAATCTGAATGTAAAACAGAGTATTTGGCCATTGTTATAATGTTACAATTCTAGAGACATTTTTTTGGTTTTTTTTGACATTTTTTATGGTAGGGGCTCTATAAAGTACTGGGGAACATTTTTTGAATGAAAGAATCCCCAGTATAAGACTCTATCCTTTTGTTATGTTTCCCTGCTCTACAATATAGTAATTAAAAAATTCACTCTGTGAACATGTATTAATATTAAATATATTTCTATAATGAATGATCTTTGGGTAAAATATGTCAGCTTTATAGTTTAAAGAGCTTTTGTTTCTGTTTATTTTAAATAAAGGAGGCACAGTGGTAATTGATGTGTAAATGTGATGAATGTATGGGGGAAACTAGGAATTTTGCTGTAATGGTATTTAAATTACAAATTTTCTAAAAAAGGATAGTTTATATATATTGTGTTATCTATTAAAGGATTTATACTTGTCTTTGCACAAGAAAATATTGATAGTATTTAACTTTGGCAGTCTGATTGGGAGATCCTTTTATAATTTAAAAATTTAATCAGTAAGTGGCAAAGATTTAAGGAAAGCAATGACAAAGAAAATAGAAACAAATGTTTGTATATGAGACAGCTTACAAAGAATGCTTGGTTCATGTGAATGGGTTCAAGCACCCTTAGCATGGTCCATGGAAACTGTATTGAAACAGAACAGAGTTCTTTGTTTTTCCAGTGTTAATGTTTGTTTACCTGCTTTATTTTTACAGGGATGTACATGCAGTCTGTCTCTGGGATGATAAAGGCCCAGCAAAAATTCATCAGGCTTTAAAAGAAGATATTCTTGAGTTTATTAAGCAAGCACAGGCAGTAAGTTTTGCATCTATATATTGTTTAAGACTTTACTCAGAGAATATCATATTTTCTGATTTTGAATGTAGGGCTTCCTGAAGTAATTTTAAAATATCACATTAACTTTTGACACACTTGGCTAAATAAATTTTTTAATGAAATGATTGTCATTTGTTACTTTTCTCCCCCTCCCTCACTGACATTTCTTTCAAAAGAATATATTATTATCCTCAATTAAAAGGTGCTATAAAAAGAATTTCATTTTTAATACATTCTTTAGAAATCCGGACCACCATTATTTTTTGGCCACACATCAGTTCACATAAATCATTTTTTTCTCACAATTAATACCTCTTTTCAAGCTGACAGCAATTTTCTTCAATTCTAAATACTTCTCCGACTGTAATTCTTGGACTGTCCTTTGCATTGCTGCTGCTGAGCTGAAATTCAGCACTCTTGAGTTGATGATATGTATAAGTGTTTAATATTATTGAAATGAAGATAGAGCTCATTTAGGCATTAGGTCAGTTATGCAAGAGCTAGTTTGTTTTTGTCTTTATTATCACCTTTGTCTTTTGGGAAAAATTAATACAGAGGTAAAGTATTATTTCAGATAAACTCTGGCATCACTATTGCATCCTTACCACTTTGAAGAAGGGCCTAAAGACATGAGATTATTTTCCTTTCTATAAAATGAAGTTTGAAAACTAGAGAGCTAGAATTTGTTATTCTTTATTTGAAATTTTACATCATTGTCTTGTACAACATTAGTAAAAGTCTGTTAGAAATCTTGTTGAATATTAAGTGTTAGCAGTTGGAAATTAAAAATGAATATATAACTTAAAGGAAGATAGTGAAATTGAATATATGATTGGTATATATTTAATTCTGTTAGTAGCCACTACCATGATAAAATAAGAATGATGTCACATTGGATATTACTTACAAAATGAAATGTTTTATTGATGACACCATTAATTCTGCTGTCTTGATCAATGATTGTTTAAAAATTAGAGTTTTGGGCTTCCCTGGTGGCGCAGTGCTTGAGAGTCCGCCTGCCGATGCAGGAGACGCGGGTTCGTGCCCCGTTTCGGGAAGATCCCACATGCCGCGGAGCGGCTGGGCCCGTGAGCCATGGCCACTGAGCCTGCGCGTCCGGAGCCTGTGCTCCGCAAATGGGAGAGGCCACAACAGTGAGAGGCCCGCATAACGCAAGGAAAAAAAAAAAAAAAAAAATTAGAGTTTTATAAGGAAATTATCTTTTTTTTTAGGAAATTATCTTTTAATGAAAATAAATCATCAGGTTTGCTTAGAAAAATTAAATGTTTCAATATCACAGTTTAATCAAACCATACATTTTTCTAGAACTGATTTAGGAAAACAGTTTCTGCTTGCTTTGGAAAGCATATCAGCTTATCTGTTTATGACTTTTGGTGAAGATAAATTATGTTTATTTCAAATTGATAAGAGCATTATTCCTTAGTTTCTGGAAATGGGCTCATAAAGAATCATCTTAGAAATATACTTCACACTAGAAAACAAAGTATGTTCAGGGTTTGGAATGATGTTTGGAACGATCCAGGAAAGTTTGGAATGTAGACCTTAGCAAGAACTCGAGGATGGGATTTAGTGCCACTAATTCAGAGCAGTTAAATTGCAGGAGTGGCAGTGCCAGACATGGGTGTATAATTTTAAAACATTTTAAAACTTTTAAGAAGATCTAGCTTTGTGAGTTTACTAGTCAATTACTAGACTAATTGAGTTTATCCTATTAGGAAGGACCAAATCTCCCAAATAGGACAGTGAGCATTAAAATGTTTATTATAGCATTATTTAAAATGACAAAAAGAAATAAAAATAAATATGCAATGCTTGGAAAGTTATTAGTATATTGAATTTTTTCTTGCGTTTTTTGTTTTGTTTTGTTTTTAAGATTAACGTAACCCTTCTATTTGTATTGGATTGGCCAAAAAGTTCGTTCGGGTTTCCTGTAACGACATATGGAAAAACCTGAACAAACTTTTTGGCCAACCCAGTACATAATTCAGTGGCTTAGCAATTTGGGCTAGGCTCACCTGATTTTGCCTGAGCTTATTAATATGGCAGCAGTAAGGCTCTTCAGGGACTGGATGGTCTAAGAGACCTTTTCTCATATTCCTGGTGTTTGGTACTATCCTGGCTTCCCTCTGGGGCTTTTTCTCCCTCACATGGTTTCTTGTTCTCAAGGAAACCAGTCTTTGAGGTGTGATAGTGTAATCTTGCAAATCTCTTCAGGTCTTGGCTCAGAAGTCTCACAATGTCACATCTACCACATTTTGTTTGTCACAGTTAGTCACAGGACCAGCTAAAAGTCCAGTGGTGGAGAAATAGACTAGGATCTTTTAAAAAAAAAAAATTGAGATATAATTTACATACCAAAATTCATGCTTTTAAAAAGTGTATAATTTTGTGTGTTTTAGTATATTCATAAAGTTGTACAACCATCACCCACTAATTTTAGAACATTTTCATCAGCCCATATAGAAACTCTGTACCCATTAGCAGTTACTTCTGCATGACCCCCCCCCCCCCC